TTTTGCTAAATGTATAACAGTAGTTTTGTCAAAATACCAAATATTTGAAGAACTGTCACAACTTACCGTAATATTCACAGGTTTCCTATCATTGCAACTTTTTTTTAGAGGTTTTTCATTTGCAGTGCCGGAAATGAGCCAGACAAAATACGATCTACTAACAGTTGGAGGTTTCATCTGCGAAGCATACAGCTGCTTCATAATTGTAAGAAAACTTCTGAAAATAATTTATCTTGATAAATTAGATTCATAATATAAAAGAAGAAGAGGAAGATTTGGCAATATTTAATTTTATAATATAGAAAAGAAGATTTTGTTGCGGTTATATGGTAAGATGTTGAAATAACCAGTTATTTGCAGAGTTTTGAATTGTCATCAAAACTTCCAGCTGGTGTTCAATAAAGTTGGAAAAGTTAAGAAACTAAGGTTTTTCAGATACTTTTTTTATAATAATTTATTATAAAAATGATCTGAATTTATTGCTTTTAATTTGATGTTTTAGGGGGGCATTGGAAAACGAGTTAGTGAAGCGACCAAGGTTTGCAAAGAAATGAACGCCAGTCTTCCAATTATAGATACAGACAGAAAGGCAAAGACCGTCGTAAAGTTTTTGAAAGGTTATTAACAGTGGACATATGCAGAAAACTTCTTCTTTTGAGAAACATTCCGGTGGCAATCATTTTTTTCAGTGCTGTGAAGAAAGATGAAATTGTAGCAGACAGCATTGAAGAAAAAGTTTTAGTAATCCTAAAGTTCAAACAAAAACATTTTTCTGTTTTTCTAAAAATTATAAGTCGCTAAAACACCTTCTAGAAAAAAGCTTATCTCAAGCAGCAGTGAATTTACAGGTGTGTCAAGTGCTCATCCACTCTTCCGCGTAGCTGAGCCTCTCTCAGTCAGTAAATGCCGGGACTTTTTGACTCACCCCGCGGCAAATGTAATCGTTCTAAACTTCATGAAAAGTTGTCTGCAGGCTGTTCCTGATGGTACTTTCGTTGTTCTGGTCTGTGAAAAACGTTGTGACAAGATGAATTTTTAATTTTTTGCTGGAGCACTTGTTACTAAAAATTGTTTTGTTGCATTATACTAACGTAAAACGAATAATTGAGAAAAAAAACATTTCGGATTTCATGTAATACTTTTTTTTAGATTCTTTTTACAACTGCGTAATTTTGATAATCTTCTGCTGGTTTCGTTCAATAAAATTTTAGCCAAAAAGCAAAAAGTTTGGGATTTGGAAGTTCGACATTTCTACAAAAAGATATGCATCAATTGCTGTTAATTTGTATTCTTCACACCGCTTTATCTGCTTTGAATTACCAACATTTTTAGTATTTCTTATAAATGTTAAAAATTTAATAGTAGCAAAAATAAGCGAAGAGTATCAATAATGCGAGAAAAAAAATAAAAAAAGAAAAAGAAGAAGAAAACCAACAATAGGCTTGCGAAGCGAAGATTAAACTCTTTGCCAATCAGAAAATGTCTAATCTCTGTCTGTTTTTAGCGTTTTTCTTTCATCTAAATACCTTCAAAAAAATTAGACAAATCCTACCTTTAAGATAAAAGAAAAAGATTACTTAGATTGTTGGAGAACTGATCACCGTTCTAAATTTTATAATTTTCTAGAAGTTCATCAGTTTTATCAAACGTATACGATGGCTAATAATTTTTTCTGCTATAAATATTTATTTGAGTCGACGTAATTACACCTGAGCGAACTCTTGTTTGCAAAAAATGTTGCTTTTCGTTTATTTTATGCTACCAGAAACAGCTAGATTAAAATTGCTGAGGCTCAACAACTAAGTATTCAACAATCTGCGCTGTCATCACTGCTATTTTTAACAAGGGCATTTTTGACATTCTTAATGCCTTTAAATACAGTTTTTTCTCAAAAGAAGCTTCACAATCATAAAAATCTTTCAAAAGTGGTTTTCAAAGAAACCTCAAGGTTTTTTAAGACTGATATTAATTGCAAAACTTTTTTTAGCTTCTTCAAAAAGGTAACAGTAAGAAAAAGTAGTTGCACAAAAAGTAAAGAAGTGGAGAGAAAAAACAGATGTGCACCAACACATATTCTTTCCTCAAAGCATTCCGCCACATATTCACGTCCTTCGTTTTTAAAAAACATCTTGAAATTGGAACACTATTAAGAACAGTTTAAAGACAGTTCTGCAAAGAATTCTAAATCGGAAGAACAGTTATAATCTGCGAAGTTTAGTAACCATTAAAAAAAATTTTGAAAAGCTCTTTACACATTACAGAATCACTTCTTCGTAAGAATTATCTGTTTACAAAAGAATAACACCAATAAAAAAAGCACTGCTAAAATCACTAAAAATTTAAAATTTTTCGTATAATGAACGTTTTAGACGACTAAGAATTTAAGTTTTCTCAAAAACTTTTTCTCTTTTTCTTTTATTGTCTTCGTCTACTTCAAAATCTTTTCTTTCCTTATTAACGCCTTGTCTAGATCTTAAAAGAATAAAAGATGTGTTGGAGTTTTTATAGCAGTTTTCTAGGCTTTTTTGAATATAATTCACAAAAGGTTTTATGTATTTACCTAAAATTAAAAGAACTGGCGAACTTCAAGAAAGAAGACTAAATAAGTGAGCTGCATTTCATTGTGAATTATTTTCAGTCTCATCTTCTTCTCTTATTATCTACAGAATTGCACAAAATGCATCCATTCCATGTGAATATCTGTAGCTTTACCTATGCCATCTTTATAAAGAAGGGTACATCAAACTTCCTCATTACGAGCGGTTAGCCTCGAACTTGGAAAAGCTGAAAATTATGCCGCTTGCGTCAGCAAACTTTTTGTGTTTGCCTATGATGGCGGTTTCAAAAAATAGTGGTCTTAAGAAGAACAGATTTAAAGTTTGAGTTTCAAATGCTGCTGGCCAGAGTAACTTAATCCAAGGTGATAAATTGCATGTTGAAAAAGACTGTTTTATCTACAAGAGCCTTTTAAGATGTAAGTAAATATTTGTTTAAGTGAATGAGTGCAGAGGTTGTGACGGCGTGGCAGGGTTAAGCAAAGCAAAGTAACATATCTTCAGCTTTTTCAAGTGCGCGGCCAGTTGGGCATGATGTTACAGTCCACATGTCAACATGGAAAAATCTTTGTTTAGTCGACACAGCAGCGGCGTCACACAGCTGATGCTGCTATGATATGTCTAAAAACGCCTGACAATTTCAAAAAAAATTGATTTTTAATTAGAAGTCATAAATCATGGTTGCTTTCTGATATTTGAAACCATAACTGTTACTTTTTTTTTAGTAAACAAAAGAGTTTCTCAGATAAACGACAACTTGTTGTAATTTTTTCAAAAGCCTCTTGGTTAAAGAGAAAACAGAGAAATTAAATGGATGCTGTAAATTAATCTCTCAATAAGTCCTCACTGTTATCCAACTGTCAGCAAAAATCTTTCGTAAAATAAAATTTTGTTTTACCATTTCCTTAGCTGCTCCCCCCTTCACTGTTCCCTCCTTGAATTTTTTCATTGAAACGCAACTAGCCAGCCAGCTTTTTTAAATCTCTTCTTTTTTTAATCATTAACCTGAGGCTACCAGTTCGCAAAAGATCCTATTAAAGATTTGTAAGTCCGAGACAGAAATATTTATTAGCAGTGCTGACATATGCTGCAGTTGTGAAATCTTGAAGAGTTTAGGTGGTATCAACAATCACAACGACGTCTTTTAAACGACGTTTTTAACAATCCTATTTTTTTTTATCTTTTTTTATTTGAAGTAGACGAACCA